AGGCCCAGCAGGTGTCATCCCAGTTTCCCCAGACAAATCCTGGCAGGAAAAAAAGGCTGGTCTTTGGGAGTTATGGATAAAGAGAGAACAGGCTGTCTGTGTGGAGCAGGGAAGGCTTCCTGGAGGAGGACATGTGAGCTAGGCATGGAAAGTTGTTTAGGACAGTGAGGGTTAAGGGAAGGCCATTCCAAGGGAAGAAGCAAAACAAGTACTGTCTTCCCATCGCAACTGTGTACCGAGGACTCCACAGGCCAGGCCGAGACACTTCATCGGCACCCGGAAGCAGGGGGAAGCAGCTTTGGGAGCCCTGGGCCACTCTGAAGAGACACTGCCCCCACCCTGGCCTGCCCTGGTGGCCAGCAATCCTTCTCTAGCCTGCACTAGGGTGCACTAGACAAAGCGCCCTGGTGTTCTAACTCCAACCCAGGTCGCTCCCCTGGGGGCCCTGTGCTCTCCTCCTCCCTGTAAGCGGCATCAGTGACCCCATCTGCAAGGGAACTCCGCCTGGGACCATTTTGGCACTTGCCGTCCCAAGGAGAGGCAGACCAGAGGGTCCTGGCACACCGGGTGTGGGATGGGGCTGGGCCGGCCTGGAGCCCAGTGGGCAAAGGAGCCAGATGCCACAGGGTACACCACACACGGGGCTCACACGTGTGTGCAGAGAGGCGTACCACCACACTGGGCTCACGCGTGTGCACACGGAGGAACAAGAACAGGCTGTGGCATGACCATGCTCTGGTGCTTCCTCCTCCTCCCTCAGTGGTAAGGGCACGCACCCTCTGGCATTAAAAAAAAAAAAAAGAAAAGACTTGGAAGGCCAAAGGAAGTACTGAAGAACAGGTCAGGCGCCCTCTCCAGGGAGCCCTCCAGCTAGTTCAGTCTTCCTTGGCGTCAAATGTCCTCTACCTGCACTCCATCTGTACTAATCTTATTCATGAGAAAGAGCACATGCAGGCACAGGAGAGGAGAGAGAGGCATCCTTACAGGGATCTGGTCACGCCCCAATCCCAGTCCCCTTCCCCCTGCTGCCTTGGCCCACTGTCACGCACGCACGCGGGCGCACGCGCACCCTGCATGTGTCAGGCGAGCTGAGCTGGGGGTCTGAAGCTGTCGTCAGCCGTGTGGCTCCCCGCGCTGCAGCCGTGTACCATGCGCTGCCTCCGAGCTGGGCCTGTGTGCTCACCGGCTGCCTGTGCTCCTGCACCACTTAGCCTAGAAGGACCAGCTAGGACCAAGGCTCGGGTCCTCTCCCAGCTTACCGTGGAGCAGAGGTGGGTGGTGTGAAACAAGGTCCTGTGCTCCAAGGGGACGCCCCATTCCCACCCTGCCCCCAGGGAACAGGGCCTAGGGGACTTGCGTCACCAGGGAAGCCTCCTCCCCACCACCCCAAGTGGCTGGCAGGAGCTGAGACATCCTCCGAACCTCCACCTCTGAGTCCACCCGCAGGAGCGGGTAAGTCACCCAGTAATGACTCAGCACCAGACTCCCCTGCTCCCCACCGCCAGAAGGAAGGGCAGAATCCTGCCGGCTCCTCCCAGTGGGTGGCCACAGCTCACCACAAACTGAGTCACAGCCACACCCTGCCTGACGGAAAACTACCAGGACTGGCGGGAAGAGGAGGGCTGGGCTCCCAGAACCTGAGTTCCCAGTGCAGAAATCCTGGCCATCTCCACGGCCTCCTACCCGGAACTGACAGGAAAACGGCTCTTCTGTTCTCTGGCCCTAGCTCTGCAGGTCGGGAACTTGCTTGAGCCCATTGTGAAAGGCAGGAGGCCGCGTCCACCTGTGTGTGGTACTCGCAGTGGCCTAGACCTCGGTCCGGGAGGAAGCCTGGGGCCCAGCCCGGACCCACTTCCTAGGTAGCCAGCCCAGGTGCGGGGCTGGGAACCCTCTCTCAAGTCTCCTCCAGGCGTGAGAGGAGCCCTTTTCCAAAAACTCAAGGGCCTATCCGAAGGCACTGTTTGTGAGGTTTTAATTTGATTTGTTTTACTTCATGTATTTTGGAATTTTATCAGGTATTATTTGTGACTTGCAAACTTTTCCGATCTAAAAAGCCCTGTTGCTTTTCCATGAAACCCTGTAATGTGGTGTAATGTCACTTCAATTTAAGTGGCATTGAAGATGTTCTGCATGTGCTATTAATAGAAAGTGCCACCCGAGTCCTCTCCCAGCTTCCACGATCCTGTACTTACTCCACGGCTTGCTACTGGAGTTTCTCCTGCACAGTAAAGTACACTAAGTTACTCTTCTCAGTCCACCACTTGCTAGTACTGCTGTGCCAGATGCCAGGGGTGGAGAGTTGGTGAGAAGTGCTTGCTAGGCCAGCCAGTAGCCTGGTGGTTAAGGCACTGGATCCCAGATGGCTGACTGTGAGGTTCGAGTCCCAGACCTGACAGCTTGAAAACACATCAGGTACACATACACGTGTGCCCAAAATGTGAAGCGAAGGGACTGTGGCATGGCTATCGCTGCTGGGGGTGTTTTCTCACTGCCCCGCCCAGAGAGCACGTGCTCCTTACCGCAAACTAAAAAACAATGCTTGGGACCAGCAGATGGCGTAATGGTTCTGTCACTGGACTCCCACGTAGTCGACTGTGGTCTGAGTGCCAGACCTGGCGGCTTAAACTCATGCCAGGTGTGGGGCCAGCAGGTAGCATGGTGGCTAAGGGCTCTCTCTATCCTCCTCTGGTCAAATTTAAAATAAACAAATTGGAATCATTCTTAAAAAAAAAAAAAAAGAAGACACCAGGCGCATGTGCATGTGTCCAAAATCCTGAGAGAAGGGTTTGCGGCGTGGCCATACCCACCCCCAGGGAGGTGATCTCTCTTTCTGTCTCTCTCTTCAGTGAGCACATGCACCCTATAGCAAGAATCGCTCTTTAAAAAATGCTTAAAACTGAGAAATCAGAGATGCTGTGCACTGGGTTCAGCTGCGGGTCGCCTGGGCACTGTGGGAGCCTCTGGGGGCAAGCTGATGACCATGCAGAGCTCAGGTTCTCGACTTAGACAGACCTGGTCAAGAACTCCACGAGCGGGCTGGGAGGCCTTGGGAGGCGCATGATTTAAGAGCTCGAGAAAACCTACCTTCCGGCCTCGCTGTCAGGATTAACTGAAGTCTGAAAGGCAAGCACATAGCACGGAGCCAGAACAGTGTTCTGGCCGGTGTCCACCCCCGTGTGGAACGTGGCCAACTTCTGGTCCTCTGTGCCTGCTTTCTCATGTGCGGACGGGGGCGGAGCGTGCTTCACCAACCTGCTGGGAGCACGACGTGCATCGGGACACACACAGTCCCCGACAACGCCAGGCACAGGGAGCCCACGGCCCCGGCCAGCAGCACCTGCTGATGGAACACTGGGCACCTCCCCAGGACGGGCCGGTGAGCTCTACCACCACCTGAGGGACTGGGCGACTGTGCCCAGCAGGCAGGCACTGTGGTCAAGACTGGGCGTGTGGGGAACCAGCAGTTAGCGTAATGGCTATGTCGCTGGACTCCCACGTAGTCGACCGCGGTTCGTGTCTCGGACCCGGTGGCTTAAAACTCACGCCGGGCGCGTGTGCGTGCGTGCCCAAGATCCCGAGAGGAGAATGGAGGAGAAGGGATTGCGGCGCGACCATCACCCCTGCGGGG